TGTAGCAGCAGGTCAGTAGTTTGTTAGAATGAGGCTAACCTTGTAGCAGCAGGTCAGTAGTTTGTTAGAATGAGGCTAACCTTGTAGCAGCAGGTCAGTAGTTTGTTAGAATGAGGCTAACCTTGTAGCAGCAGGTGAACGTTGTCTATGTCCAAAGGGATGGACGCTCTTCCCCCTAAACCATCAGTGGAGCAGAGTTCTGACATGTTTTTCTTCATCCGACACCTCGCAGCATGGTACTGATCTGGAAAAATAAAACAAGATCATCTTTTTATATTTGATGTTCCACAGCAACAGACTGCTAAGCAGAACCACAAAGATGGTACCACACGTTTTTGCTTCATGACCCAGAACCTGTAAAATCAGAGTTTTGGACTCTGTAGGTACATCAGGTGGAAGCTGCAGCTAAGAGTCCAGGTTGAGTATGAAGCAGGCAGGTTGATGCCAGAGGCCTTTAAACCTCTCAGCCTGAGCAGCACAGGGGAAACAACTAAAGCAGAAACTGCTGGACTAAAGCTCCCTTATTTTATTTTATATTTATTAACCATTTTTAACCAAGCAAGTCCTGTTCAGATCACAGATTGATTTCTCAAAGAAGGCCTGGACCTGAGCTAACCTGTTGCACATTTTTTGGTCTGTAATATGAAACCAAAGTACCTGGAGAAAACTCATCCAAGCACCAGGTCAACATGCAAATTCTGCACAAAAAGACCCATGGGCTGAACCGAGGATCAAACCCAGGACCGTCTTGTTATGGAGGCATCAGTGCTAACCACTGAGCCACCGTGTTGCTCTTTGAAAAGGGACTAAACCAAATAATCCAGGACTGTTGAACAGCTAGAATCCTTTATCCAACCAGAAAGGATTAATACTCCCCCCAAAACCTGCAGATCTGGTCTCCTCAGGTCCACCAAAGATACCCGATCTGGTCTCCTCAGGTCCACCAAAGATACCCGATCTGGTCTCCTCAGGTCCACCAAAGATACCCGATCTGGTCTCCTCAGGTCCACCAAAGATACCCGATCTGGTCTCCTCAGGTCCACCAAAGATACCCGATCTGGTCTCCTCAGGTCCACCAAA